GACAGCGATGAAATCAATTCACATATTGGAATCATGGCTTCAGTCGGTCAAGGGCACTCTTCAGTATAGATAATGAAAGGAACGAATCAGTAGTTGAGTGATATTTCCTATTTTGGATGTGTTCACATTGGACATTCTGTGAACCGTAGGTTACCACCTGACTAGAATCATCCGCCAGAAGACGTGTAAACTTCCTCTCCGTCACTGTCCTGTAAAATGGAGTAGTTTTAGTCATCTGATTAGTTTGACATTATGACATTGCCTTTTGGCTACTGTGGAGTCACTTTTCACTTGACTTGATGCAAACTATCGGGTTAATGCAAACCTTTAACCTTTCAACTTGGTTCTAGCAACCAACTGCTAATAAGTAGACCCGGTTTACTTGCAAGTAGTCAACTTTGGTTATTTTCTCTTTACTTTCATCTTAGCAAAGCTTTTTAATTTTTAAAGTTACAGTCACGCCGTACCTCCCAAAAATTTGACGTTAGTTACAAATCTCATTTCCACAAATATGCTTCTGTAGACAAAAATCACTTGTTTGTTCTTTTTGAAGCCGTAATGTCAGCATAGTTGTTCTTAGCCATGGTAAACCAGCCCAAAAATCTAAGAAACCTTTCAATATAATACTAGGAAATGCGAATTCTTCCGAAACTTTTGGCATCATCCGAAATGCATGACATTTATAATATTTTGGGATACACAAGTTTTCATTTATTTTAGAAACTACTGAAGACTTGAATATCATTCCTGGGACAAAATATCTTTACAAGCAGAATTTAAGTGCAAGGTTGGTTGTTAAATGGCAGAAACAGTTATTCTTAATTGTTTCCCTAAAATAGTAATAAGATCTATATCCACTCGAACTAAACTTAGACTACTGATCGATTATATCCTGGGCTGTTGTTCCTTAGTTTTTTCTGTTTGATTTGTGTGACTAGACCAGGGTTAATCAGGGTAGTTCTTGCACCGGCGAGTCTCGTACCAGTATTCAAGAAAACATTTTCGAAAAACTGGATCAAATTCACCTTCCCGTAGTCCCACAAGTCACACTCCTTCCCTGTCAGGAAATCAATGTCGAGTTGGTTGCCTTGTTTTTCTGGTTCCAGATATTTGACTGGCCACTCTAATGGTATAATCTATCAACGTCATAGTTACAGGAAGATTTTGGAGGCAATCAGCGTAGAGAGAGAACAATACATTAATACAAATAAGCACAGCTACGATTCAGGCAGGATTGTGCAACACAATATTTGTGCAGCAGAATCTGGATCAAGAAGCGGATGAAGAACAGTTGAGTGACAGTTGGCATCTTTGTCAATTAATCGTTAAGAAGCAAAACATCGGTTGCGTAATCCAGCCGGCGATGAACTGAGATGTTACGCTTGAGTGAAAGATTAAGGGGTTTCACGAGAAGTCTGAAGTGAACGAGGATGATGAGCTCAAACTCATTTTAGTTTAGGATTTCAGTAGTTTGTCGCCTATCGGAAACTAGATGAATGAGGTAACCAAATTAACATTGCTTTCCTGACGAGGAAAGGGCGTGATTTATGAGATGACTGATTAATAAACCTGGTGCATTTTTCGAGATTAATGTCACCGTGATTCTTTGTAATGGCGCGAGAACCTTAATGATTCATTCTAGACCACTCACCTGGATCGGACAGGCAAGTTAGACTGAACACCATTGTTAGTTCATCAGACGGATCGGCCCGTCGTCCGAGTCTCTATCTGGTTCAGGATGTTGTAACCAGGGAACGGGAGTATATTTGCTTACTCTGATTAATTGCAACGCGGTTAGACACTGGACCGTCCGAATTTACGTTTGGCAGATCTAGCGATCTTGAATCGTAGCCATCTAAATCCGTTTCCCAACTCCACACAAAGGCCAAACTCCGTATATTTGTTACTCTGATTAATTGCAGCGCGGTTAGACACTGGGCCGTCCGAATTTACGTTTGCCAGATCTAGCGATCTTGAATCGTATCCATCTAAATCCATTTCCCAACTCCACACAAAGGCCAAACTCCACAAATGGCAAATGACCCACTTTGGAATCTGGGCCATACCTTATCATTGACCTGTCTCCATCGTCTAAGACTCGTCACCCAAATGCCGTGTCAACTCAACTTAGCGCCCAATAATAGACATGAAAACGGAAGCGAAATTGAGGCTCATGTTTCTCAGTCACTTCTCTATTATTTCCTGTCGCTTTCCAAAAGGTAGCGTCACAAATCCTCTTCGGGCTATAAAGGTGCCATTTTTGGCTGCATGTGTATTTTGTCTTCAGTCCACTCAACTACAGAGTTATTTCCCAGTCATACTAGTGTACGTAAGCTAAAGGCTCTCACAGTCCTTTTTATAACCCACAGCTTCTTTCTATTCACATTAACACTGGGTTGGCTCAGTTGACGAATGCGCCGGTGACCTATGAATCGAACGTTTCGGGGACGGGGAGAGCGATCGTTGGTCTGCCACTGGTTTCAATGAACTGCCAATATCGAGGATGCTTTGAAAGTAGCTGATTAACTGCGCTGGAGAGAAATCATCACGGACAGTGGTAAAAACTTCTGGAGGGAAGTAAATCACACCATCTTATGCCTCAGTCATTACGATATTTGAGGTATCGCACTGTTTCTTGATGGACCATACTGCGTATAAATTTGGTGAAGACTCCTATCGGTTTCTCCGGATTACATTGCTGCCGGTACCATTAGCATTCTTATGAGGGTAGCCTGAACCACTCTTTATAGTCTTCTAGCAATGCTGTTGGGAATCTGCTTGGTAATTCATCATGTGCTACGTGGCAAACCGAGTTTGTCGTAATGGTAGGCTCAAGTAAATATCAGCTGAATATCTCGTTTGCACTAATCTTCAAATGAATGTACCCAATGACTTAGTACATTGCTGCGGTACCATTAGCATTCTTATGAGGGTAGCCTGAACCACTCTTTATAGTCTTCTAGCAATGCTGTTGGGAATCTGCTTGGTAATTCATCATGTGCTACGTGGCAAACCGAGTTTGTCGTAATGGTAGGCTCAAGTAAATATCAGCTGAATATCTCGTTTGCACTAATCTTCAAATGAATGTACCCAATGACTTAGTTAGATATCAAATAATTCATCTCGACACAACGTCTCACATAAGGTTTATTAACAAATACTTTTAGAGAACAATATATGTAGCTTAAAGAGCCCGGCTTTGTGCGATATTTTATGCAATACAAACCGAGAGTTTTAAAAACAATGAGCGGTACTTAGGTTGACCTCTCCGTAGAAAACGATTCTCAAAATTCCTTTTTACACCTGGTTCCTAGTACACGAGGGCTTCTTGCGTGCTGAAAGTCCCCATAGCAACCTTGCCATGGTACACCTGTACTAAACGAATGGGCAGTTTCAGCCGTAGTTCTCTTGTCCTGTTCACAATGCTTCAGCAACACCAGAAGTTTTTACTCGTAATATGTTCATGGTACAGCTCTTGTCCAGCGAGTCTTCTGTTCATCTCACAAAGTTGGCCTCCAGCTGCACTATTTACTCTCAAAGGACCTTAGGTAAGACTAAACGGTATGTTGCATTCTATTCTACGTTAAATTGAAGAGTCTGTTAGTGTTGATACCCAAGAACTTAGGCAGTTGTGTACGATTATTCGATGGCACACTTCACAGTAAGAAATTTCATCAAGAGATTTACGTTAAATTTTTTAAACTAGTACAACTGACCTATAAATTTGCGCTTGAGCAGCCTCGCCCTTAGAGCACCGGCCAATAGGATTCCCACAGCGACATGTTCCACAGGACCCACGTCGGTCGTGTAAACCAATGTACGTAAATAGTTCATAAGTGTAAACTAGGATTCTCGATAAGTGGTATGATATTTGATGAACGATAAATTTATCTCTTCCAGGAACTAGAACAGGAACGGAGAACAATTTTTTTTACCTAAAGAACACCATAAACGAGAGGTACAACTGGGTTCCAGGTGAGCCTCTCAAAAAAAAACAGATTTCTTTGCAGTTGGGTGTATTTCGCTAATTTCGTGCAATTCGGTCTCAAGTAGAACATAAGGTTGGCGGAAACTTGGGGAATGCGCCTACCTGATGAGCCCTAAGAAGGCGAAACCGGTCATGGGCAGTCGAAGAATTTTCAGCAACCTTATGATTAGAGTAGTACGTCTGCAAATATATATTTCGTCCATTTCGGAATGTAATCCCTGGATCAACTGAAGAGACTGACTCTCGACCTAAGGAAATTCAGCCTTCTCATGAGCAGGCACCTACACACAAATGAACAGCCCATCAGTAAAATGTCTGGCCTACGACCATTGGTTGATAGGGCGAGGCTTTCCTGACCACCGTTGTATCCGTTTCAGTGTAGCGGTAAAATAAATGGCAACCATTTTTAAAAGCACTTGCCTACAAGTATAGGCTGGGGGTACTAGACCCAATAGGAATCTATCTTTAGGACAACAAGTTGGAGTTCACCGGAGTCGTGCAAATGATACCGACCGACCTGGGTCCCAGGGCCACGAAAGCTGCGTGACTTAGCCCAGTGAATGCCATCCCACACAACGAGCGCTTGTAACAGTCTCCAGCGTAAAATGTGGTCTAAATAAACTATGTATTCGCTCAATTATCCCTAGTATCCGATGCCACTTTTCGTCTGAGTGGTTCACTGGAGTGACACCACGTATTGTATCACGGTAGCAATCTACACTACAAGTGATGGAATCATAGTGTAGTCTTAAATGGTTAAGACTAAGGCCCTTAGGATCCACTGCAGCCATTTCCGAACCCACCGCTGCGTTAATTTTAAGGAAGGCATGGTGTGTCGCGCTGCACTGTTGTCTGATTTCACTGCGCTGATCAGGTGACTACCTGTGCACGTGTTTGTTCATCGATAAACCAATGCAGCCTGTGGCTGGTTGACGGGCTCAGCCAATGAAACCGAGCGATTTGGCTGATATAAACGAAACACTAGCTGGCATCCGCTCCCAACAGACTCAGCATGGGGCAGGCAAGCACTCGGATGGATTTTGAATGGTCATACACTGAAGAGCCCCATGCGTCGCGAAGAAAGGAAATTCTCAGTGAGTCTTGCGGAATCTCGACTTTTTTCTGTCAGTCAGGACCGGATCTACTTAGAGCAAGCAGCTACTGTTTTCTGGGTAGTCTGACAATTCGGACCATGAAGAAGTAAACCCTAGTTTGTGGCTCTCCACTGGTACACGCATTTAAGCAACCCATTTTAAGAAGAACGGGTTCTGATTAGCCATCTTTTCTCTGGTCTATGCACCTTTCATTGATGACTCCTCGTGAAAAAACAATCTGCACTGTGTAAGGAAGCAGTTGTCGCACTTCAAGGATACTATTGCATTTAGGTTCCCATCTGTATCGTGCTACTTGATGGAGCCGTGGCTTAGCACAGTATGAGCCAGTGCCCCACTGTATCGATTTGCGTTTTGAAAAGGAAGGACCACTTCCTTTGAAGAGAATTTCTTCAGTAGAGCGTTCTACTTTGCCTCTCCTCTATCAAAACAATTTTTTTCTTCCGCGGCCATTCGCACTCGATTAAGCTCTCGGAATAACAAAGGAAGCAATTTCCAACCTTCAAATCGAATGCGTTGCTCAACTGCATTACAGCTTGCCGTTGACCCCTTTATGAAGAAGGCAGGGAGAATTGATCTACCGCACTTAATTCCGTGTGTATTCATGAAATCCGTTCAGGCGTGTTCCCGAGAATTTCTCAAAACCATTAAAAGAGTGTGACTGTTTCATGTTGCTTACTCAACTTTAGTTTTCACCGTCTCATAGCGACTGAGTTAGCAAATCGCTGGGCATTCTTTATGCTGTTAGAAGCGCGGAATCCGGTCTACAGGATACTTTATTTCAAGCAGGTTGTCATGCGGATATCGATCGTGCGAGTTCGGATTTTGATTATGCGGGGCGGACTGGCTGATAAGTTTCTGTATGTAAACCAGGATTTATCCATCTAGTGAAAGCTGCTTCTCGGTTCTGACCGAATACCCAAACTAAAACGGCGAACGAGGGTTGGTTTGCCTGCCTGAGCTAATGGAACTTAACGGTATCTCCGAACACGTTCCCATGTTTAGTGGTATATTTGAAAAAAGGATCGGTTATGCAAACTGCGCGGATTTTTCCTCTCTTCGAATGTAATTTTTTGAGGTTTTCAGGCTACTTCACTGAAATAGCTGATCGGGTGCAATTAATGTCTCAGGTATTTCTGCGTACGCTTGTATGTATTTAGTACTTCTAGTGTGTATCCATTATGCGGCTAAAAAGGCAGCATGATACATGATGCATTGAACAACAGCTTACTTTAATTGGAGGAAAAGTTTGCTTTAAGCAACTTAGATTTATTCATCGACGGTGCCTTAGATAGCTGATTTCACAGATGCCAGACATTCTCACACAATACAGAGTTTTTGTGTGGTTCAACCTGTCTCATTCATAGGTGGATAAACTGAATTAATATACGGTGAATTTGATCCGAAAATTTTCACATGTAGCGTTCGTGTGAACGAAGCAGAAGGATTCAGCAATGTATGCTGTACTGAACAACGTAACCTGAAAACAACGTAAGAACAACCTTCGTACTACAAACAAAAGTACGTGAATCACTGCCTCTTATGTCTGTCTGGCGAATCGATCTCAGGAAATAGCCTTCTTGGCCTGTATGGGGACAATGGAAGAGAACAGTGGCCTTGTGTCCATATCTTGTTCATCTTCGCGATGCTCCCTTATTTTATTCATCGTGTATAATGGCATCGTCCTCGGAGCTCTCTCCACCTGGTATTTCAACCATAGCTCTAAGCTCTGGATGAAATGTTTCAGAAAGTTGGAGCGTCTGTCATGTTTATGTTATCCCTAGACGGGACCCTTGACTCCACGTTCAAATATGCAAGGTTCTCTCCATCCCCTGTAAACTTTGGCTTACACCTGAAGGTCTCCAATATACCAGCCTAACAAGCCTTACCATTATCCCACACCGGCCCTCCGTGTGTTTTTTATTGTGGTAGATCCTTCTCTGTTAATGGCTCGTCCCTGATTTTATTGTGGTACTTCTCTGTTAATGGCTCGTCCCTGATTTTGTTAAGACCAGATAATGAGCCATTCGCACGTTCTCAAACGTGAAACGTACGTACAGTTAGTGTTCTCGAGTACCTGATAAGAATAGATTTTACATCATAAGACCTTAGTTCCTGTTTTAGGTTTTTTTCATTTTCACCACTATAAAACCAGTCTCTGTGTTTCACTCCGCTTAAAGTCCCTTCACTTTCCAGTAGAGTGTGCCTAATTTGGTGATGAACGGTTCGAATACGATTCTAAACTAACCTTAAACGCACGGGTCAAACAAAACACCCACTATTTTAGCTAGAGATACAAAATTTGCATTCCTAATGGTAGTTCTGGCATTGACAGTCGATCTCTGCTTCTGCCCCTGGCGAGTCCACTACGATAGATTTAGGTACAATTAGAAAGCGAGTTTTCGGTGGTCTAACGGGGACATCCAGTGAGGACTATGCCCAGTATCAGAAACTGCGATGGTTGGGACATGTATTGTGTATGCCGAACCATCGTTTGCCGAAGGGAGTACCGTTTTAGTGCCACATGTGGAGTGGTAAAAGCAGAGAGAAGGCTAACTTCTGACCTGGCCGGGGTGTGCAAAAGAGACTACGTAAAGTCTGGGTGCTATCGGTTCTACTTGCCCTCCAGGATGGGGACCACATGATTACCACTGCACCTGGTTGGAGACGCTGTAAGGTATGGCTGCTAGTCGATATCAGTGGCGTTCTTGTTGTCGATTTCTATCCATATTGCTTGAATGAATGTCTAGAGGTGTAGGCACCTTGGAATGATCGTAGCAAACATGCACCAAATCTCTCCACCATCCATTTTTACGCTTTTCTTCACAATAAGGTTTTCAAGTAAATCATGCTTATATGGCATCGGGGCATTAGTGTCATGTTATCAATGATGATGATACGAAATTTATGTATACATATTTATATGTACATGCATATATATATACACATATATATATATATATACTTTACAAACACGAGCAGTAGTCCAAAGGGTTATCTTTAATTCACCTGATTTTTCATAAATATTCTTACCTCAGTAAACTTTGGCCTAAAGTCTTCACTTAACTACTGTTGATTAGGTAGCTGCTGATCTTTTTGACCAGCTTGGCAATTAGCTTGTAAGCTTCGCCGCTGTTGCTCCATACTGATGGCTCCCTTTCTAGAAAGGCCACTTCAACTCAATTCACCGAGATCCATGGAAATTCAGATTCCCTCAGAAGACGAGTTAAAAAATTCAAACTACTCAATTGCACACCGATGATGGCTCCAGAGCTGGAGATGAAATGTATGCAAGTCAACTGTCCAGCACGACGAACAGATCAAAAGCCCCATGATGAATAGCCGATATTTTGACGCTGTTCCCTAGCATTTGTATGACCATATTCTTGCTAGTAACAGACTGATAAACGAGTAACTAATACTCCCAGTAATAATTTATGGTAAGCCGTGCTCGTGACTTCAGACTGGGTCTCCCTCAGTGTAAAAAGCGGGACAAAATATTATACGACAGTCAACTGTTAGGATTGTTCCGTCCATTTTTTCCTCCACTATTTGTGCCTGAGCCTTTGGTGTCCGCCTCCCTATGTTGGTGGTTACAGCCCATAGGGCAGACATTAGCCTAACCAATCCATCTGGTTTTCTGAATACTTCTGCCAGGGGGTTGTGTTTGCAAATATACCTCAAGGAGATAGCGGTTCCGAGAACTGAGTCGGAAGCGGTGACGATCACTGGCCGACCAACTATAGCTATTAAAACCGTTCTGTTTATGGGACCTGTTTTGAGCACCCCTACCTTTGGTAGGGGTATCCAAATTCTCAGCACGATTCACAAAGCTATTGCGGCATCTGTGATGATTGACATCTCGTACTATATTTCGGTAGTTGCAACCTCTGGTCTGTTGAACCCATTCAATAAATGTAGAGCTCTCGACATGTACAGCCTAACCGGTTGGGCCTAGATGTCACTTTCTCCCAGACCCAGTATACTTCAGTGGCGATGGTCTGAAGCTCCAGTTCTTGCCTTAGAGGTGGACGGGTGGAACCGAGCTTTGTATGGCCTATGCACTGACTGTCGAAAAGTTGTCTGTAAGCGTATCAAGATGGGTGCCGGTCGACGAATTATTTGTCGATCGTCACACTGGGCTGCAAATTTCCGAGGGCAGTATGTAGTATGCAGTGTTGTATAAACTGATTTTGTGAAACAATCGATTGCAAAACGGTACCACCCCGGGCAACCGCTGAGTCGCACTAGGGTCACGTATGGGGGATATGATCGATCGACCGCAGGTAGACGAAATATTTTTTGGAACGTAGAAAGTTGCGAAGTATGAGTATTGGAGTCCTGGGGATGAAGAGAGACTACCAAGTAAGGGTACTCAAGACCTCAAAGATGAGTAGTTACTGCAGAACAGCCGTTAAGTGAACTGATATGCTGTCCGAAAAACAAGGGGTTTCATTCTGCCAACCGTTTTCTTCGAATAAATTTTGATTTCTCTTTATCATTACCGTCTTTTCCAAACTGACTGAACGGTTCCTCCTCAAAGCACTGCAGTAATACATTTTGTAGATATCCTAGTTATATCATGGACGAAAGGATATTGGCCAACAGTTGTGTGACGTGGATTAAATTAGCATTAAATTGATCACCCTTGAATTGCGGAAGCATTCTGACTCGGTTCCTGCTCTGCTCGGTTTGGATTCGCTTTGTTGCCACTGGTGAGCATCGGCGTTGGTCTCCGTGCCACGAAGCCGGAAAATCGAACCACCTGGTAAAGGTGGTCACGTTCGAGAACGTGATAAGTGAAGCTTAAGCTCTATTCAAACGAGGGGTTAATTTCTAAATGGTTAGCTGATGAGAAGCGATGACCCGATGAGGAGAGGTGACCTGATGATTAGCGGAACGAAGAGGATAGGTGAGTTCGCGATTTACTACTCATAAGTTGCTGAAAATTCTTCGACAGCCCATGACTGGTTTCGCCCTCC